CAGGGTGGAGGTGAGCTGATCAGACAGTTAACAGAAACAGCCAGTGACCTAAAGACATATGGTGTTATGAGATTATGTTGATGTTGTCATTGTCTTTCCAGTTCCCATGCAACAGGCACCCCTTTCCCCTTCCCGCGCCATCCTTTGTAACTTGCTTACTGTGTCTAAGGTGTTGAATTTGGGAACCATGTTAACTCAGTTGCGTGAACGTTTGTCTATCGTCTGAGAGTAAAATATTCTTATTCCCATCTTGTCAGGGGTGATATTTTCCCATTGACGTGGGCTCACAGGTTGACACCCCCTAAAATTGGACCAGGAAATTCCTGGAAAACAGGCCGTGTTATTCCCAAAATCTGGATCTGGTTGGTTTTTCAAAGTTATTGTCCCATGACAAATAACTGAATCAAGGTGCAATATCGTGAAAAAGAGGTCAATCAAGTTTCCGTTTCTCATTGACACCCACTTTTTCCACAATTGATTCATTTTTCCTTAGCAAAACAATTGCACTGGATTTTGAGGCATCATGGCTCACTGTTATTTTTTGGCTGTTCTCCAATCTGACAATGCCACTGAAAAAGACTAATCTGAGTCACGGGAAGATATGGGGAAAGGGGTAATATGAGGAATACGGCTGCTAGGCAGCACTGCATTCGTTTTAAAGCTCTTTATGGCATGCATCCAAAATTGTGGGACAGCATGGATGAGTTGAGTTGAGTCAAGAGCTGACATCACAGCACTCAGAGCATTCCCATGTGTACTACGTCCTCATCTTCAGCAGCCAGCGCAGAGTTCCAGTACTGATGGTACCAGTCATAATCTGGTTGTATGTCCGTCTTGCCTTTCCTTTGAGGGTAGTGAGCCGGCCAGACCATCTGGTTACACCCAGGTGCCTCATTCTCTCCAGGCCATAATAATCTTATTTCTCTACTGATTCCGTTGCTTGTTCCCAAAAGGCATTGACCATAAACATGTATCATTTCACCACACACTGGTGCACATCCAGCCAATCTATCAGTCTGTTCATTACCTTCTAAGCCGGCATGCCTGGAGAAAAGATCCAAAGTATACTCACTACCCATGACCTTCCCAGTGAAGCTTGCCAATCTGCTCGAAGCATCCCTATCTTTACCTTTCTCAGCATGTTTTCAGAGTCTGTTACAATTACGACATGTATATGAATCTTGTTCTCTAGCCACCGGAGAGCTGCAGTTACCGCCCACACCTCTATTCTCATGCTAGATGTTGTGATGTCGTGTGCAAGGCTGTCTTGCACTAAAGATTTTCCAATGGTATGGATAAAGTGTGTGCAGTCCCAAACATTTTACATTTAAAAGGATTCAAGTTTCTCAGCATCAGAAAGAGCTACCCTAATGCATGGGTATGCTGCCTATATGTTTTAACAAGGCAAACAAATTCTTGAGATCTCGGAAATTCTGGTTTATTTAGTAATCTTTATAATTTCCTTGGACAGTCAAAAAAGCAACTTACAGATTTTGAAAGAGGCGAGGGCTCGAAGACTTATCAGAAACATCAGAAAGGAACAGTTGTAATTTTATTGACTGGTCATGTTATTGCTTTCTTCTATAAAGACTTTTCCTGCAGTATAAAAAATTACAATACATCTTTCCCAGTAAAGACAGGGATGTGTTATGTCATCTCTCCTCTTCAACCTTGTGATTGATTGGATACTAAAGAACACAGTAGACAGGACATTGAGAGGCATACGATGGACTCCATTCACCATGCTTGAGGACCTTGATTTTGCAGAAAATATAGCACCCCTATCACATAAACATGAACATATACAAGAAAAAAGTAACAGACTACACAGCACAGCAGGAATGGTGGGACTGAGAATAAATTCAAAGAAAACTAAGATCATGACAAGCAGTCCAAACCAACAACCAGTGATCATGAATAACCAAACTCTTGAAAATGTATAACATTTCATATATCTTGGCAGTGTAGAGTCCCTGCCGGGAGGGACCGAAGAGATCATACATCACGTGAACAAAGCTAGAGCTGCTTTTGGAAGGATGAGGCAAATCTGGAAATCCAACAATTACTGCAGAGGAACGAAACTCCGACTCTACAAGAGCATTATTTTGCCAGTTCTTCTTTATGGAGCAGAATGCTGGAGAATGACCAAAAAGGATGCACACAAGCTGTCTACCTTCCACCACACATGTCTACATAGAATTTTCAAAATTTTCTGGTCAGATACAATCTCAAATACTAAACTACTTCAAGTTACAAACCAAGAAACTTTAGACAGTATGATAACCAAGAGAAGATGGACATGGCTTGGCCACGTTATGAGAATGAATTCTGAAATACCCGCCAAAACAGCTCTCACATGGACACCAGAGGGAAAGAGAAAACAGGGGCGCCCAAAAACAACATAGAGACGAACGATGGAAAGTGACCTGAGTGCGGCATCTTTGACATGGAAAACTGCACTGAAGATTGCGCAGGACAGGAAAGCATGGAAAGTCCTCTCTGAAGCCTCATGTGCCACTAGGCATAACAAGAACTGATGTGTGTGATGATGATGTTATGAGAAAAAAGGAAATTGGAACATGTTCTGACCACTTGAAAAATCTGTGTAAAAGAGACAAGGGGAGACAATGTGAGATGATTCTTGACAACCTTTTGTCTTAACATGGAAGGCTGTCAATACACAAACTGATACACACTGTTGAAGATTGCAGACTGAAGACAGGCATGATCGCCCACGGCAGTCGACAAGTCCCTTGACGATGATAATGATGGACAGATGCCATGCCCGGTGGTCAGATAAGCATTGAGCCCTAATCGCAAAACAGAATTTAAAACTAATTATTATGATCATGTGTCTCAAAACTCAAATCTACTCTTTTGAGAGTGTAAAAGTTAAGTGTGTTTAAAATGTTTAACTAAAAAGAGAACAAATAAATCTAATGATGTGTAAATAACCTTACTAATTAACATACAACAAAAATAGGCTAATATTTTATTGTAGTAACTTTTTTAGAATATAAATAATTTCAAACTTGATTGTGACACAACAAAAGAAATAATTACAAGAACAGTTAATCCTAATTTACAAAATAGTTACACACATGTGCATAGAGGTCTGAATTTCATCCAAAATGTATATACGGATATAATGATATAGACTGATAAACTTTGTGGGATGTAAAAAATATATCTAAGACTGCTAACTTGAATACAAATACATAACAATGTAAAAAATACACATAAATGTTATTATTTTCGGTGTCCCCTTTCTTTTCTCTAATCCTTGGTCTGCCTTTGGCGGCGTCCATGGCCTAGGTGTTGCAAGTTCGACTCGTAATTCCAACTTACAGCGATCAAAACCCACTGCTGGCTGCGTGGATTTTTATCATGTTATGGAGCGTCGCAGGTCGACCCGGCTTAAAATGGCTACCAGGATGTATGTCCTGGGGAAGTAAAGATGGCTAGCGTAATGCTGACCATATTACCCACCTAGCGCCGATTAGTCTGTAAAAATATGGGTGCTCTTCCCATATGCCCAGTGTGCCTAAGAGCGTGAAAAGGAATCTTTTTCTTTACTTTTTGATCTGCCTTTCAGTGGCAGGTTATGAAGCGGCATTTGGTGCCAGCCTTGGTATGTGCTGCATAGATAGTGGCTGGCATTTACTGTCTTAACATATTTCATCTTGTACATCACTTCCATGGGTGACCTCTAGCTCTGCTTTCTTTGTTTTACTGACAGTTGTTTTCCTGATTAAGTTATGTTTTTTTTTTTAGGTACAAATAGGGGGATGCTGTTCTCTATAAAATGACTGACTGTATAGAATAGTTCTTTATAGCATATTTTCCAACAAAATGAAAAAAAAAGGTGCACTGTGCATATCGTGCTAGTCCTATGTTTCAATCGACCAATAATCACTGGACGGGTGATGTAGTCAACATCAAGCTAGCCACCTTTACTTCCCAGAGCATTTCCTGATAGCCATTTTATTCTGGCAACCTGCAATTTTGGGGGCGACCATGAAGTAACACAGGGCTATTCAAGTGGTGGCCCGCAGGTTAAATCTGGCCCACAGAGGCTTAGTATGTGACCCACGGCTCATTATTAGTTGTGTTGTATTAATGGTGTTTCTATGCTGGCACTCAGGCCTCTGGCCAGTGATGATCCCCATTTTCAAAATACTGGCCCTTGAGTAAACTTAGCTGAATAGTCCTGAGGTAGCATCTAAATGCTCATCTGCTGAAATGAATGTCATGGGTTCAAGTCCGTAACAGAGTCTGACTTTTTTTTTTAAAAAATAACCTTGGGTCCAAGATTTACCAAGTCTCAATTAGGTACAGTCCTGGGAAGTAAAGGTGTCTGGCCTGATGTTCATCACATCACCCACAAAGTGCTGATTGGTCAATGAAATACAGATCTAGCATACTACGCCTTAAGGTGTGCAAAGGGGCCCTTTGCTCATCTGGGATTTTAGGTTAATTTTAGTCTACGAATTCCAAAGAATGACCACCAGACTGGAAGGTAATCAAGATTGCCACTACACTCTGTTGACTCACGTGGCTCAAAAGTGTTGGCTATCAATTCAGGTATCTCTTGAAAAATTCATATTTTGACTGTTTTAATAAACACCACAAAAGGTTTCATAATTTACTTTATTAATACTTCAAAATCTCTGATAACGTTAGATGCAATTCTAATACACAGAAATGTTTTAAAATGTCAGTGAAATTTTAAGAAGAAGACAATAAAAATCACCGCCAGTAAGATTTTTCAACAAATCCTCAATCTTCTACTTCTTCTTCAGCATTCTGAGCCCTTAAGGTTCATTCTGTAAAAATGCTTCCAAATTGGATTCTTCCATTTTATATCTAATTTCAAATACAATCTACTATTTGATTCCTTTTTTTCGTCTTGACAAGTGGCAATGTTATTGTAACAGTTAGAAACAAATGAAACCAATTCAAAAAAAAAAAAAAAAAAATAAGAAGAAATGTGGCTTGTTTTAATCCTCAACATATCCATGGTTGTACTTCCTGCCAGTTGAGTAACCAGAAGTTGAATGAACTGTATTGTAATAATCCCCGTACATCTCACTTGGGGTTACACCATCTTTGTGGCTGCTCGCCAGTTTCACTGAGAAGAAAAAAGTGCTACAATTCAAATTTCATAAGAAACAATCTGATGCAAATTTTGATTTCCTGCCTTTCACGTGACAGATTGCATTAGTTGTTTATTACTACACATGTAAAGTATGTACAGACCTATTTTTTTTTTTAGAAAAAGATAATTTTGTATTCAATCCTTTTGGTTTATTATCTAAAAATGGTATTTTTGCTACTGTGATGTGAGACTCTGTGGCTTAGAGGTTAGTCAATGCATTAAACAATGACATGATCCTTGGTTACTAGAATTCAATTAACACTGTGGTCAGTATTTAAAACAAATTGCTCTAGTGTTTTTCGAACAGTGGTATGAGAGTCACACCACAGAAGAGACCGGAGCTCACCACTCAATATTCCCAAACACAGCAGCAGGAACACCATTGTGGATATGGCACAGTTTTAAAATAAAATGGCATACTGGTTAGTGAGCTTGTTTGTTAAGACAGTGATCCAGGTTCAGTCTCCCAAATTATGAGGATGTTTTTAACACCTACTGTTTACAGGCTGATTCCTTTCAGAAATCTGGTACCAGATAATTTCTGGATATTGTCTGGGACAGAAAGGCAATGAGAAAGTCGCACTTTTCGTATCCTGTGTGGAGTCTAACACTTTAATCGCTCTCCCTCTCCTAATGCCTGTATCTGTGACTACTTTACCCTTCTCCCCTTATCATTTGTGTGTGAGAGAGAGTGTGATTTTGTGAGCATGTGAGCACTTTAGATAATGAATTTTACTTGTTAGCTCAGCATAATTTGACCAAGATTATGATCAATTGATTACTGAATGCTCAAAGCATATTAAAAGGTTAATAATGGTGAGAGAAAACAACTTTAGGATGCTGAGATTTATCTCATTTAGTTTGGTCTCTCTCTCTCTCTCTCTCTCTCTCTCTCTCTCTCTCTCTCTCTCTCTCTCTCTCTCTCTCTCTCTCTCTCTCTCTCTCTCCAGTGAATGGCTGTTTCCCTGCCAAATCCATCACACAAAGCAGGAAAGTCTGCAGCTCCAGCAAGGACCCTGAGGAATTTTAGAGACACCCACACTCAAGAACTAAACTAAATCCAGTCTTTACAGCAAGAGGCTAATGGCTAAACTATTTTACCACCCCCTTAAGCATTACTTTTTATGAAGAATAGCAAAAGTTTATCGGTTACCCATTGAATAAAACGCTTTCATAAAATACTGAGAGTTTATTCATAGCTATTTTGACATGGAATGGAGAGAACTTCAAAGGAAAAAAAAAAAGGAACAGAGCACGTCTGGGAATGCCTCGAGTGCAGTGATGTCAGTTCCTGATTACTTTACTCATTCGTTTATTCATTCACTGAATCACATGCTGGAAGCATTTTAATCATGCAGAAACTAACTGAGGGGATCTCTGTGGATAACTGGTAAGATGTTTGCCTCACACTTTAAAGGTCGTGGATTTTTTCCAGACTGTGACATCCTATTCACAGGTGCAACTTTTGCAGTCATCCCTGGTGACTGTTGCTAAAGCTAAAGAGTTTGTGCTCTGTGGGATACTCTTGAAAGGAAACTTGCTATTCTACAGATAGAAACTGAGCAGTACTGATAAAACCCAGTGGAATGAAGTTAATCCAAACTTTCTTCCTTTTGAAATAAACTGAATACAGCGATATGTTGAATAGTAGATCCCAACATTAACTATACTGCCTCTGCTACTCTTGAGCTGTGAAGTAATCAAGATGCATAGTAAGATTTAGAATTTACAATGTACTTTATAAAAAAAGAAGTGTGCACTTGATTGTGTATAGTTACGGTGGAGCTAAGGGATCAGGTATGACAGCCCAACAAAGCTCGGGATCTGCTAATTTAAGTAAGTGAATATGTTAGTGATGCTTGAATACTGATAAGTTAATTATTTTATGATGTTAGCATTATGGAGAAATATGTGTTTAGCAATGCTCTGTGTGCAGTTAGGGTGACTGGATAGCATAAGTAGTGTTGAAGATGCTTGCACATAAAGCTAAGACTTGCGGACCAATCCTAATTTCAAAGATCTGCAGTGGACCCTTTACATTTTCAATAGTCAAAAAGAAGAAATTAGTATAATTTACAAATAATAGAAACACAAAAAGGATTGCAATCTAATCTTGTGGGGATTTTTTATTAATTGATCTCACAGACCCCTTTACATATGTCCCGTGGATCAGTGACAAGAGCCTGATAAAGGTGCATGTTAGCAGGTAATGATTACACTGGAGAGGGTATCAGGTGATATTTTCCTCCTTGTCATTTCGCTGTTGAGAGTATGTGTGCGCAGCATTTATTGTAGTACTAGTAACTGTGAGCTCTCACATGTTACAATTTCTGCATTAGTGGCACAAGCATGCAGCGAGTGTTTCTTTGTTTTAACACTCTCAACAAGCATTACATGCTCAGCTAGACGTAAACCAAGTGATGTATTTGTAAAAAATAATAAACAGTAACAATAAATAGTAACTAACTATTTATTAGTAACTAACTAATAAATAGCACAACAGAAAGTGTAAGCGGCGATTACAGCCGTTACATGCATACCTTGTCACTGCTGTGTGCTGTGAACCCTAAGGGGACCACCAAATGAGAAACACTACTGTAGAGATTAACCATGCCTGTGCTCTACCTTTTATCTTCCAAATAATTAAGCTCTCAACCAACTCATGCTGATTTGCTTATTCTTTGTTGGATTTTGCAACTATGGAATAGGGTAGCCAACCGTATGCCAACCATCCTTATTCGTCGCTTATGACATGCATCGTAGGTTACAGTGTAACTTTGCATTATGGGCTTTGTAAACACACAGATGAATGAATGAATGAATGAATGAATGAATGAATGAATGAATGAATGAATAATGAATTGACATCACTGCACTCTGGGCATTCCTATATATGCTCTGACCCACTAGTCAGTAGCCAGTAAAGAGTTTCTGTACTGATGCGACAGCTGCAGCTTGATTAAAAGTACAAAAAAGCCATAAATGTAAAATGGATTTGCACACAAAACTCAAATTCTGGAACAAGACTTAAGTCCAGAACCACCAGAACTTGTAACTGGAGTTGACAGCTGGTAAACAGGAATAAGAAGAAGACTAAAGAAAAATTAAATATATTAGGTTTATCATCATCATGTAGTGGTTGAGAAAGAACAGTAATGGTTAGCATGGTTCTTCGAAAAAAGGGACATATAGGTGAACTGGGACATTATAGACATCTCGGGCATAAAATCACACAACACTGGTTAATATGGTAAGGGACATAGTATATTTCTGTTGGGTCATCATAGAAGTGTTTTTCTGCAAAGGACTGCAACATGATGATGATGATAAAGAACTGAATCTGCTAGTTTCATAGTGAGATTAACTGTTGCATGATTAAGTTCTTCTTTAGGATACATAATCCTGTTTTGACTAGTTTGTAGAAAAAAATAAGAGAAATTAGCATGTGTAATGTGCTAAGTATATTGTTAGAATTCTAATTACATCAAATTAATATAATTAGTTGATTAAATACAAAAGACTTGTTATCTAAAAAAAAAAATGTAAGACCAAGAAAACAGATTTCTTTTTCCAAATGAGTCGTAAAGTTGAAATAAATGGAAGACAGTGTGAAGGAAGCAATTATTGTTCAAAGTGGTTAATGAAAAAAGCTGAATAACTGCCCCCCCCCCCCCCCCCCCCACCTCCCCCCTTCCGGGCTACTACATAAAGTTTGACCACCCTGCAATTTAAAGTCTCTGTATGTCAATTCAGTAGGACAAATCCATTTATGGTGTTCATAAGGCCACTCATTTTAATTATAAATTATCATTTGTTGTTTTTTTCTTTCAAAATAATAATATCTCAGTAAAACTGATTATGTGACAATGAACAAGAACCACACAGAAAATTGCAAATATAATTCAGATTATGTAATAATAAATTAGAGCAGAGAATAATAACATAAATGTAAAATAACAAACTCTAAAAAGTTGAACTACCACCCATCTTCACATCTGAGAAATTTCATGGTACCCATTTAGGTTGGGTTGACCTCGTTGCCATGGTCATTTAATTATAAATCTGCCTTAGTGGGAATTCAAACCTAGGGCCTCTGGGTCAGCAGGCAAGCATTTAGCCACTGCTACCACAAACCTTTAGGTAGAGAGTATTCTATTAAGAACTTCCTGGAGTTAAAAGAGTTATAAATTATGACAGCAGTGCTAATTATTCAGCAGAACGTATACTCTGCATATATGCGTCAGTGGTTAATGCACTAATGATATCTTTACCTAATCCACAATGAGCTCTGAAATAAAAATTGTTGTTATGGTAGACACCAAGAAAATGAAAACAAAGCATTAACTTTTTCTATCCCAGTCAATGCACCATGTGTGACTGACTATTCTTTACGTACATCAATTTCTTCTTTGTCAATCAACATTTGCGAGTCTCATGTGATGTGTAACAGCACAACAGGATGATAATTTATCTCTAGAGTTATTAAAATGCTACGTCAACATTTGTCTAGTGACAGAAAAACATCAAAAGAAAACCAGAAAATAAACTGTTAAAGCAGCAGCAAGGGTTGGAACACTTGAAGAAGAAATTATGGTAGAAATATTTAAAGAAGCAACTAGGGAACAGAACACAGTAGCTAATAAAACAGAAACAATTTTAAGTAGCAGCTAAAGTAGAAATATTTAAAACAATAATAAGGAAACAAATATTTAAAGTAATGGCTATGACAGAAAACTTTCATTCAGTAGCTAGAACGGAAACATTTAAAGTTAGTTAGTTGGTAGACAGATTATCCTCATTGTATTTTAAACCATTCAGTCAACAAGTGCTCAGATCCTATCCTCAGCAAGCAAAAACTGGAAAAAAAACATTCCAAGCCGAAGAAAAAAACAAGGACAAAGTCATTTTTAAAAAAAAGAAGAAAATACATGCTAATAAAGGTATTTCATATTTAAATTTCTGATTCATCATGTCTGCTTTATTGTCTCATTCAAGATCAGCGGTTCTCACCTTGTGGGTTGAACTAAGCTTTCACAGGGGTCGCCTTATATTATCGGAAAACGCATATTCATTGAAGTTATCAAGTAGCAATGAAAATAATTGTTTGTTTGAGGGTTGCCACGACATGAAGAAATGTATTTAAAGGTCATGGCATTAGGAAGATTGAAAGTCACTGATCTAGATGGACACCTCAATGGGCAGTAATGTTTTAACATCTTGAGGCATGTTGGTGCTAATCACTTATTTGTTTTACACTAACTGGCACTCAAAGTTGTGTGTGGTCAGTACCACATTAGCCATCTTTACTTCTCAGAGAGGTCCCCATGGTGAAGTGACTAAGCCATGTGAATTGCACTCTGAAGGTCGCTGGATTTTATTCACAGATACGTGCAGTTTTTACAGAGATCACTAAAGCTGTGGGGTTTGTGCTTTGTGTGATGTTCTTTACAGCTAGATAGCCATTCTGCTGAAAGAGGTCAAGCCATATGGATAAAACCTGGTGCAATAAAGTCGATCCTCTTAATTTTAACTTTAACTTCTCTGATCATTTAGTGACACCCAGGGCATTTATCTAAACAAAAAGGGGCCAATATTCATCAAAAACTGTCTTTAAAAAGATGTCGGTACTCATCAAAAAGTTCCTATTGAAGTAGTGCTTAAAAAAATTATACCTCAAAAAATGTGCCAGTACTAAATATGGTTGTATATGTCAGAAAAAAAAAAAGCTCTGCTGATAGCCATGTAAATCGGAGTTGACCTAGGAGCCCAGGTTATTTTTTTAAATCTGCTTTGGTAGAGAATAAAACTCACGAATACAGCTCTACCACAGATGCTTCACTATAACTAATCATAACTATACTCACAGTTTCTAGAAGACCTGTTAATAGCAACTTGAACAACATATCAAAACTAAAACTGTAACACAAAGAAATCACAGCATCTATGAATCAAATCAACAAAATATTACCTTTCTCTTTCTCGATTACTTTTTCTGGTTTCTTTTTGTAGGCATCAGGCAAAAGGTTTGCCTGTTTAGCAGCCAGCACAAATGCCAGTACGGCAAGGATGAAGGCATCACAGACAAGAACTATGGCTAGGGCATAGGCCCAGCGCATGCCACAGACACCAATGTTGTAATGACCTGACTGTAGCCCACATACTGTCTGTACGACAGAATGATCCCACCCTCCTGGGTATATGATGCAGGATACCAGCATAAGCAAACCTTGGGTAAAAGTTCAAATAAAAATAAATAACTATTTAAATAATCAGGTGACTATATATATATATATATATATATATATATATATATATATATATATATATATATATATATATATACACACAGACACACACACACACACGTACGCACACACAGACACACACACAAACTCACCAGACAATTTATAGCCTAGCATAGTTTTCTGTATATCATCATTAACATTACTACTGACATTACATAATTTAATGAAGACCAAAAATAAATCATTTTTACTGAAGTATGCAAATCAAATAGAATCCTGCTGCACTGTAAACACCACCAGGGAAGTCTAAAATTAACCAAGTGACCCTTTTGGAAACATAATGCAGTGCTGTCCATCCAAATTCTCTCTGCTTATAAAGTTTCAATAGGTGCCTGTTCAGTTTCTAGTAAATAACACAGCAGGCACTTCTTCTTCTTCTCTTCCACCTTGTACCTCAGTGAAGTGTCGAGGGGAGATCTAACATCTGTTGATGAGCTCTGTCAAGAGCACTATTAAGACTGATGTTCATTTCTGTAAGGCTGTTTGTTCTTAATGCCACCACTACATCTTTTCTGAGGTCTTACACTTGCTCTATACCCATTGTAACGTTTCAGTGTGGCTCCCTATGGCAGATAGTACCACGGCATTCTTTTTAGGTGTCCAAACCACTTCATTTGTTGTTCTTTGATGACCTGTAAGACTGGCTTTATTCCTAGCATTCATCTGATTTTGTGACTTCGTATTCTGTCTGTCCTTGAAACTCCTGCAGCTACTGTAAGGCATTTCATCTCTGTTGTCATAATTTTACGTTCATTAGAGGATGTAAGTGTCCATGTTTGGCCCTGATAGCATATTGTTGGCCAAAAAATAGTTCTGATAAGATTCCATTTTAGTACTCAGGGGTATCTGCTAGAGTGTCAACAGGGAAGATAGTCATCACATTACTTGATTAGCTTTGGCACATCTCGAGCTAATTTCTCCCAAATACTTGAATTCCTCTATTTGTCTTGAGATGTTGTTTTTTATATTTTATTTCTAATTGTCTTTCTGTCTTCCTATCACCATTGTCTCTGTCTTTATAGTGTTTATTCTCATATTATTTTCCTTTCCTTTGTTATTAATTTGATTTAGGTGGTTCTGTAGGTACTCTTTACTTTCTGCGATGAGTGCCTGGTCGTCGGTTAATTTAAATTCAGTAATATCTTCTTCATGATTAAAGTTCATTTCCTTACATATAGTATCCATGTATGTTATAAAAAGAAGTGGCGATAGTACCTTCAATCTTTTGCAGCATTTACTACATGTGTACAAGCTTTGGCAAAGATTAATGAGATGATTGCTGATTCCCTTTTCCCCCACATTTTTATAACTTCTTCTTTTCACAAGTTGAAGCCAATTTTGCCGTCCTTTTTAGGATGCAATTTTTCGTTATTTGAAGGCCTACTCTGGCTCATGCCAGGGGCCGCAATATAGCCTGGCCATAAATATGGCCTAATGGCTGAACGCAGTTTCTGGGACCTCTCCACGATGATTCTCATCCACATGGTGGCACTTTGTGTCATTGGGTGTTTATCGCTTGTTTGATGTCCTGGTGGGGTAGAAAGTCAGTCTGTCAGCCCACATTTTCCCACAACATATTCCTACTAATCTTGTGCCAGGTGTCTAACAAATGATAGGCTATGGAAGAATTAGGTTCTTTCCCCTTGACTGATCTTGACTTGCAGAATCTCCACTGAGAGAAGGCCAAGGATGGACATCATGACCAATATCACACAACATTTATGATTGAAAGAAATGAATATGAGCATTGGGTATGTACAGGCGAGGAAGCCACTTAACTGTGATAGTAGGAAAACATGGTTTCTGGCAACAATATGCAGGTGTTGACCAGTATGAATGTGGAGGCAGAATACTGGTGACATCTTCTGCATGAATAACCTAATCATTAGACACAATCTGTGGCAAGGAACTGAAAGCTATTATGCTCCAAAGGTACTAGATTACTCCAAAGGTACTGGGTTAGAATCTACATCAAGATGCATTATTTTTATAACAAACCTGGCTTCCTAGTTAAACACAGCCTAAAATGGGTACCCAAAAATGTCTTGGGAAGTAAAGGCATCCAGCCTGATGTTGACTACATCCCATATCCAGTGCCAGTTGTTCTATAAAATTATGGATCTAGCATAGTTTGTCTGATGTGCCAATGGTGTGGGGGGAACAAATACTTTACTTTTCAGTTTTCCCTTTCTCTGTTTCTGACATTTAGTAAATGGACTTCAGTATGAAAGTTAATCAAAGAGTTTCCATCCGAAAAAACTTCCCAGTGATGTTACAGATGCCTCATAAAAAAAAAAAACATGGACAATAGCAACTTTAAAGGAAGAAATGAGGTAGCCTCACCTGACAAAATCTGAAACCAAGCACAGATCTGCAGCACTGTCCCCGTGTTGAGAAGGCAGAAGAGTATGAAGGACAGGATGACCAGCATGAACATTATACAGCTGACACCAACCATTATGGCCGTGGCCTGTGAGAATCACAAGTAACACTTGTAAAACACATGGACAAGTACTTTAAAACACATGGACAAGTACAGTAAATCATGACATATATGACAAGTTTTATAGCCTACATTTTTATTCTAAAAAAACTTGGAGGTTTCATATGTGATGGGTATGAAATGTATTAGGTAGGTATAGGCCTAAGTGTGTTGAAAATCTTGCTGAAAATCTTGAGTTTGACTTGTACCCCAGGTTGACTTGTACCCCAGGTTGACTTGTACACCAGGTCAGACCTGTACACCAGGTCGGACCTGTACACCAGGTTGGACCTGTACATCTGGTCGACCTGCACAACACTACATGTGGTAGGTTAAACTGTTTTAACAATGAGGATCTCCAAGAAGAAGTGGTCAAGTCATTTGCTTCATGCTTTGAAGGTCGTGGGTTCATTTCATGGACGTGTAATTCTTCTGTTTGTGAGTGCAGTTTTTTTTAAAAACAGAGATCACTTTTGTATATAAATCTAATTTTTCTGTTCTATTTCTTAAGACAAATCTGTGCCATACATTTCATTGCTATCTTTTCTTGATTTTTTTGGGGTAAGACTTCTTCTTTGCTTTCTTCTTCCTCTTAGGTTTTTTTGTCAGAAAAACTTACATCAGGAGGCCAGTAGTCTTGATGAAAGCTATTGTACAATCCTAATCTCCCTGTTTACCACACCCAAAGTGATCTTGTAAAACCTGCTGCTCTCAGTATCTCAGTGTCTGTTTTCTTCCAACTCCATATTCTCAGCATTCTTCTCAAATGCATATTTATTGCCTCCAGTTTCCTTTCTCATTGCCCAGAATTTTTAGCCATGCAGAAGAGCAGGCAACATACAAACTATTCACTCAACACAATATTATACTTAAGCTACTACTGTTTTTATGACCTGGATTCCCAGGTCGACCATGCCTTGTGTGGGTACCACGTGCAGTCTTGGGAAGTAAAGGCGGCTGGCGTGATGCTGACCACATCACATAACCAAGTGCCGATTGGGCTATAAAAATATAGGTCTAGCCCTATTTTCATAATATGCCTAAAGGCGTGGAAAAGGGTATTATACCACTGTTCTTCACATGTTTTATTCATGTAGCTATAATATTTTTTTTTGGTTCCTTATTATCAATACCTAGTGCGGATAGTCAGGCAGTTTAACATATTGTTTTTTTTTCAATGAACTGTTTGACAAGTTTCATTTATCAGCCAACCTTCTAAATCCTGTATTTTTATTTCCTCTCCTCTTGTAACTCCAGTAGCTCTTTTGAGACATTTCATCAGTGTCATGGTATGCGATACCAGCACTCATTATTGGATATCATTTTCCAGCACTACTGTAACATTTTGCAGTGAATACTAACACCTTTTCAAGCTCTACTAACCTGGTATAAGGGTTCATGTTTGACACTGGTAACTTACACTTTACATTGCTCAGCTGTGTACACTACCAAACATTGCTTCTGACCGTATGTGATACTTATATCAACAATTCTAGAAACCTACCCGGAAGTAATTATTTGGAAAGGAACTCCATTGTAAGAAATCTCCTGAGCAGATGAACTGATTTTCAGTCGAAGATTCACTGCAGTATCTGTTAGATGCAAAGGCCAACATATGAGCTGAAGCTAAAATTATTTTTGAGAAAGTAAAGTTATGATGTGAAAGTAGAGTTATAAGTTTTAAATTGATATTAACTATGAGAATAACTAACGTGGGTTACATTAAGTATTCATTGCAATATCTATCATGTTATTATTCTGATCATTTATCGCAGAGCTTTTCAACTGGTGGCCTACAGGCCAGATCTGGCCTGCGGAGGGATAGCAAGTGGCCAGATGATCATTGCCAGTTGTACTGAATTAATGATCTTTATATGCTGATGCTCAGGCTTCTGGCCCATGATGATCCCCATTTTTCACGGTTTTGGCACCTGGGTAAACTTAGTTGAATCACCCTGATTTATGATGTAATTTTAACTCTTTCAGTCCCAGGGGGTTTAGCATCAGAGGCCCAAGGGGTAGTGAAGGAAGAAGTAATATTTGCACATCATGAATTCAATGGGCTTCTAGGTAGGAACCTATGAAGGTATGATGCGTTTATTGGGGCTGAAATAGTTAAATGATATTCTATAGATTTATAGTAGCATCTTAAATGAAATAATCTTAATTCGTTATGATGTGTGTGTGTGCGTATGAGTGCGTATATGTGTGTATGTATATATAGAACATGGGATTATCGTGTTCATTGATGGTAGTATGAAATCAATTAAAAGTTTTTTATAGTACAGTAAAACCCCTTCATCATGAAATCACTTAAGAAGAACACTCTGTTAACATAAACAAAATGCGGGTCCTAATAGAGATGCAATATTATTAGTTTCTTTCCAGTTAGTACACATTGGAAAACCAAAAAACACATCAACTATTGATTTTCTGGTCCACTGGAATTCGTGTTAAGGAGGTTTTACCGTAGTTATTATTAAGGTTGTACAGTTGATGTTTATAGTTCAATATGGAATTATTTTTAAATTTAATATAGCATCGACTGTGGGACTATATCTTTTGTGGTGTTACATTAAAGTAATAGGATAAAATTAGCTTTATCTTTGTAATATGTGATAGCATCTAACCTGGCACTTTATTATGTATGAAATTATCATGGCACTCTACAGTTTATAATAAGGAGTTACCAGGGATCTAGCAGATGCTCAACACTCAGGGGAAGGGCGAGATGCATACACAGTCAGACAGTTACTGCTGCCATCGGAATTGCAACTCTTTATTTGCTGCTGAAGATGGGGACGGAGCACTTATAGGGTGTCCCGAGTGCTGTGATGTTGATTCTTATTTTAGCATTCAACAGTTTATGATAGTATCCATTTATTATACTATTATAATTACAGTAGTAATTATGATAGAATGCACAGATAATAAAAAAAAGCTAATTGACTATGAATTTCTGACTGAATGATTATGTACCTGCATAGTTTGCATCAACTTATTTCAAATCATTACTTTGATTACATCAAACTACACCCAGTTATTACCTTGTTTATACTAATTTACTCCCAGCCATTACGTAATTTACATCAACTTACCCTCAGTTATTTCCTAGTTTGCATCACTATATTCTCATAGCTTAAACAGTCCATTTCACATTATTCCCATAGCTTACATAGTTAAAATCAACTTATCCCTAATCATAGTTCACATCAACTTACTCCCAACCATTTTTACACCAGGGCTATTCAACTTAGTTTACTCAGGAGCCAAAATGTTGCAAACAGCCCTAGCATAGAATGATCAATAATATCAAGTGGTATGTGATCAGCTGGCCACTTGTTAGGCCTCTGTAGGCCATATTTGGCCAGTGGGCTGCACTACATAGTTCACATCATCTTACTCCCAGTTTACTTACATCAATTTAATCCCAAACAATAATTAGTTTATATCCATGTACCCCCAGTCGTTACTTAGTTTACATCAACTTACTCCCCATCACTTTTCATCAAGCACTACATAGCTGAATCAACATTTTTCAAATCAACATATTCCCATTGCTTACATAATTTACTTTAACGTTATCCCAGTCATTGCATAATTTACATCAACTTATTACCTTTCATTACATAGTTTACATCAACTTACTCCCAAACTCCAAAGAATCCAGGTACAGCGCTGTCCCCAGTATCTCCTATCCACTGTGGCTGAGCAAAGACCACAATGTTGAGGATGAGAAATATGCAGCTGAAGATGGCCCATAGCACCACTATAGCTCTGCTGTTTCTGACATAATTTGTGTGACGGATTTTTGTGAGTTCTGTGTTGTACTCTGTTTCGTTCTTCATGGTTATGCCTATATTTGGAAATGAAATAATAAATTAGCCCTAAGTCAACTACCATCTTGGAATCATGTTGTCACAGTGTCTTGATGGTCATCTGCCAGCCCCAAGATACTGGGTTCAAATCTGCATTGAGGCAGTTTGTTTTCTCCAAAAATGCTTCCAGGGTCAACCCGGCATTAAGTTGGTACCAGATGAAAATCTTCTGGGAAGTAAAGGTGGTCAGAGTGATGTTGATCACATCATCCATCAAGTTCCAATTATGCCATAACAAGATAAAAGGATCATTTGGTTACTCTAAAAACTATCATCTCAAGTAGGCTAGTAAATCAGAGACAACAGATTAACATGTGGAAGTTTCTATGCTGTGGTTTTAAAGAAGGATGATGAGAATACAATGGACTGATAAAAAGCTTAATAGGGGATCTTGAAAAATTTCACAGAAGAAATGATTACCTGTCTTACTTAGTCGCTACTCCTCTACCTTCATGTGTAGAGGTTTGCCAGAATGATTGCCAGACATCTCTACAAGCAGTTTTCTTTTTGGCCTTGTTCCAATCGTCCTCTGTCAGTCAGGGACTGTCAGATGTTTGCTGTCAAGTGAACCCTGGGTCATCGTAGTGGTCTGGTTTCTTGTTTCATGGCCTTTCATGTCCGCTGTGGTGGACATTATCTCCCAGTCTGCATACATGTCCAAATCATCATAACTGTGACTGATCCACTTGAGTATTTTGGGCCTGAACTGATTACCCATAGCAGGAACTGATTAGTAATATGTGTATCAGACTCTCAATTGGCCAGATATGTGCATTTTTCTTGGCGAGACCTCAGTTAAGGGATTTTGTGTATTCTTGTTAGTCCATGTTATTCTTTACTCCTGTCATGTGCTGATGAAGGTTTTCTAGCTGTAGCATCCACCTGCGATTTGTGATTGTGACAATGTGAAGCTGACTATTCTAATGTGTATTTGGTTTTATATCTTTTCATCATTACCAATATCAGATGTAGCAATCCACAATCTTAGGCCACATCAACAGAAGATGAAAACTGCAATACATCATGAAGACAGGAACATTGAAGGAGAAGAGAGATGGTTCAAGTTAACACCGGGAGGTGTTAGTTTGGTATAACAACTGTGAAGTTGGGGGCTTTGACATATAAATGAAGCATTATCAACATAGCCTTAGTCAACCCCTTTGCAAGGAAAGCAACACAGTGAAAAAAAGTCATAAGGGTGGGAAGGTCATACACATTTTTAGAAAAGGGTGGGACCCCAAAGGCCCTAATCCTAGTTTAAAAGCATAATAATACTTTGCTGAATGGTAAATAAAAAAAAGTATATGATTTCCTTTGAAATGTATTAACTTCTTCTTTTGTCAAAATCTGCTTGTGCCGCTAGGCGTCGCAGTCTATCAGATGATCGGCAACCGAGCCAGGGCGCGCTCAGTCGCTTCATATGCCGTGATGTTATGAAGTCTCAAGTTGTCCCGTGACTCCTTCAATCCATCTTCTTCTTGGTCTTCCCCTGCCTCTTGGTGTTTCGATTTTCATGTTGTATGCTCTTGATGCTGGCATCGTTGGTTCCATTCTCATTAGGTGACCAAACCATTTCATTCTTTGCTTCTCAATAAATTTAATGATGGGTATGGTTCCAATAGTTCTTGTAATCACATCGTTTCTCACTCGATCTCTTCTGGTTTTATTCGCAGCCATTCTCAAACATCTCATTTCACAGGTGGTTAGTCTTCTCTCGTGTTCTTTTGTTAATGTCCAAGTCTGACATTGATAACCTAATGTCGGTATAAAGATTGTATTTATAATTTGTCTTTTTATCTCAGCTGGGACAGCAGGGTGTTTTAAAATTGGGGCAAGCTGGTATGCGACATTGTTGGCTTGTTGGATTCTTGCTTCGATCTCTCTGTCTATTTTACCATTGAATGTAAAGATACTTCCCAAGTATTTAAATTCTTGCACTTGTTTTAGGCTGTGATCTAGAATCTTTATGTCGATGGTCTGTTGCTCTCTACTTATGCTCATGACTTCTGTCTTTTCAGTTTTGATCTTCATATGATGCTTGAGGCAACTGTCGTGTAGTAGGTTTATGTGGTCTTGCAGCTGTTTACTATCACTGTGAAATATGCATTGATCGTCGGCAAAGAGCAGCTCATTGAAGTCCTCCAAATGTATTAACAAATACTTAAAAAGAGAACTCTTGTGCCTAATTAAATAGGACAGTTTAGCCTCCTTACAAAATTATAAGGGGGGGAGGGGGGGGGGGTTGAGGTACCTCCCTAATAAATCTTTGGGGCTTGAGGGGCCTGAGCCTACAGGTTCTGGCGCCTATGTTGCTTTGTATTGGTAAATCATGATCTGAATAGGTCCTAATATCTCTGCCTGGAGGTAAAGTTTCAGTGCCCACATTGTTGTTTCTGAACTTGGACAGGGTAAGTGGAAATACAAGATATCAGGTATGCTTCTGTAAGACTGCAGGTTACACCAGATTGGTGTATTCCCTGCGGAGACCCAGTTATAACTTCTTTGGAGTTCGAATGGTATCTGGGATTTCCCGACAGACGGTAGATCGATAAGTGTGTGATCTTAGGCTAGCCAAACCTTATGATAGCTAGCCGGAGTGGGGAAAGCGGAGGGAAAGATGATACTCTAATACTAAGTAAGGCCCTAAGGATAAGTCTCTAGATTAATGGCACTGAAGTGAATGCCAAAATATTAGGCTGTTTTAGTGGTTTTGTTTTACCAACCATGACGAAAAATATAGTGAAGCATACAAAGATTACTACTCACTTATATTTAAAACAAACACAATGCTTATTCAAATAATAATAATAATATTAATAATAATAATACATGTTACCAAGAATATTTTAACGGTTAGGGGAATATTCTTACCTTGCCGAGTCAAACGATTCGGGCCAGCCCTATGTCTCAGCACAGAAACATCAATACACACACACAATGGTGTGTTGGTGAGACCGCGCTATTCTTAACGCTAGGACCGGTTTGGCGAGTTCAACAGGCGAATTAATTATAGAAAAGTATTGTGGAGGGCGGCCGTATACATACATACACATGGTGACTGCTAGTGTTGTCCAACAGAAAGTCCTTACTTGCACAGGACTGCGCGTTATTCCTGGTTGGGGTGGCTATTACTGTTGCTCTAATTCTAACTATGGGATGTTGAACAGGATAACTGGAATTGTCCTGTTAGCTGTCATCTCATCCGGATTGAGATTTTATGAAACCAGGGTATCGAACGAAATGGCAAAAGAAGAAAAAAAAAAAAAAGCAGAAGGCATGATACCAGGAAGGAGGGACAGTGGCCGACCACCACTAAGATAGGCACAGGATATAAGCGAATCCTTGAATATAAGTACACGAGGCGGAGAGCTGGCGAGGGACCGAGTTTCTTTCGTGAAGACCGTGATAAGAGCGACATTCTGCAAAGGACTTTCTGCATGTTGAATGTTGAATTAAGAATTGACATCACAGCATTCGAAACACTCCCATAAGTGCTCCGTCCCCATCTTAAGCAGCATGCGAAGAGTTCCAATTCCGATGGCACCAGTAACGGTCTGATTGTATATCCCTTGAGTGTTGAGCGTCGGCCAGATCCCCTGGTAACTCCTAGCAGCGCCATTCTCCCCAGACCGTAATGATCTATCTGCAAATCCGCACTTTTCACTCGTTCCCAAAGGGCCCTTACAATACAGTTTGTCATATATCAATTTACCAACAAGTGGTGCAGAGCCAGCCAGTCTATCTGCCTGCTCATTTCCAAAACACCGGCATTACCTAGAGAAAATATCTAAAGGATGCTAACTACCCGGGATCTCTGATGCTTGCCACTCTGCACGAAGAATGCCTGTTTTCACCTTTCTCAACATGCTCTGTGAGTCAGTTACAATCACGGCATGTGTGTACAGCTGATTCTCAAGCCACCCGAAGGCAGCAGAAACTGCCTCCACCTCCATTCTCAAACTAGACGTTGTGATATTATATGCAAGGCTTCGCTGCGCTAAGCGATGTCCATTGGCTCTTTGCTATAAGCCCCATGCACTTCATTTGCCCCTCAACACAGAGCCATCTGTATAGATAATCTCATTTTTTTGGGCGGGAATGGTCATGAATTATTTGTTGAACTTCTGATTCTGCAGCACGGCTCGTGTCAAAAACAGCGTCAGAGCATGAGAAGTCACCAAAAGTGTAGGAGAGTGAAATATAGGTCCAGACATAGTGCAGCCCAGGGCTACCAATGCCCCCCCCCCCCCCGCCTCAGATCAGGGTTTTTATTTAACGCCTGAGGAAAACCTGTTTTTTTTTTTAAAAAATATATCCTTATATTTCTTCTTCTTCTTCTTGTTCACCGGCTGTGAATTCCGGCGGTAAGTAACGGTTGTTGTCCAAAATGGACTTTTGGCTTTTATCTCGACCTGAGTTTTGCGTGTACATCCGTTTTACTGGCTTATTTGTTTGCAGTACTCGTTCTTCCCCCCCGCCTCTCCGGCAGATGTACTCCGACTTCGGAGGAAGACGTCAAGCCTATTTTGTTGACTGTGGCCATTGTTTTGTGTTGTTTTTTTTTTTTTCCTCTTTGTATTAACTGTGGGGCATGTCGTCCTTCAGGCTAGCTCTATGTAGGTTTCAGCCCTCAAGGGAAGGCAGGGGCAATCATGGGCATTCCCCGCCATCCAAGGAGCTTCCATAATGCAGAGCGACACATGATGCTCTGGTCTAGGGCTCACCCAAGGGAATCGTTCGTCCTGCCCATGACTGGCTTAACCTCACAACCGTGTATTGAGCTTCCCGCGCTACAAGGCTGCGCTCTCCGGAGATCAGCGGGGAGCAGCCCGCAGGTCTGATTTGAAGCCACACAACTGTACAATCTTACGTTTAGACTTTTAGTCGTTTCAGCTGTGCCCTTAGCACGACTCATAATGCGGGCGTGGCTTCACCTGTTTTGGTCCCAACACTCGCGAGTTGGACCGGAT